ACAAATATTCATGCAATTTATACCATTAAATAACTAAAACACCATGTTTTCTATAGGTATTCAGTGCGCAAAATCCCAAGACGCACATGTGCGTCGCCCGAACCCAAAGGGTTAATCATGTCGAATACAGAAGATATGAAGTTTTTGTTGACGAAGAATATGATTCAGTATTCGATGAAAAAAAATGTCTTTGGTGTAGATATTAATGACGGATGAATATTGATAATTAAGCAATGGCGTACGCAGAAATTTTTCAAGGAGGGACCCAACTTCGTAAGGGGGAGGCCCACCATGGCACAAAAAATTTTTTATCACGCGAAAATATTTTTTCCTGTACCCCCCTTCAGGACTTTTTCGTATCAGGGGGGAGGGGGGCCGGGCCCCTCGACCCCCCCTGCGTACGCCACTGTAATTAAGACAAAGTTCTTCAATTGTTTTTCGTTCTCTATAATCATCTTGTGAAGATCTAGTAGCAAAAGCACCAAGTATTGTCTATTGTGAGTGAACAGAGATTGACAAAGTATTGATTGTTTGATCCTTCAACGATTGAGAACTTTTTTTTATACCATCATTGTTGTAACAACAATCGAGCAAAGTGATACTGGATCATAATCAGCTAAAGAATGCTAAATTGCAAGATCGGAAGAAAACATATAGTTTATAGAAAACGAATGAAATGCTATGGACCTACTATGTGTAGTTGGATAATCATATTGATGGTATTTGTTTTGGCAACAATCGACAAGCCATGTAAACGATTTCCAGGTCATTAGTACTATTTATAAAATTATCGACTCGAGCTGAATAACGCATAAATCTACGTTTTTTTTTTGAGTTCGATCTTTCCATAGGTCCCAATGACCATGAATAAAAGTTTCAAACCATAGAATTGAGTGTCTCGTTTCCTATTTAGATATTTTTTTTTACAGCTATACAATTGTTCTCTAAAGAGAAACTCACAAGCGATAAAAAAAATCATTATTAAAAAATGAACAAGAATTTTGAATTTTTCTCGTTTTTGTACTTATCAATCGATTCACTCTATGGATTTACATACGATAGACTATCTATACATGTTAATCTGAAAATTCAAACAACTATCTTCGACTAACAATAATAGATGTCAGCTTGGAGTTTTTTTTTTTTTTTTGAAATAGACGATGTCTTTTTAACAAGCAACATATTGCAGATGAAAAAAATCGGTAATTATATTTTTATCTTGTTCTGATGACAAATAATCCGTGTCCTATGTAGTTTGAACTTTCTTATAAATGTCGTTTCAGTTCAACTGAAATTCCATTCATCTTAGCTATTCGAATTGATTAAAATCTTGTTGAAGATGATTTTACATCATTTTTAACTCTAATAGACGATAATATTCCATCTAATAGTAACAAAGCTTTACAATACATTTTTTTTTGTACTTTATACTTTTAATGTTATGATAAATATAAGTTGTATAGACTGCAGTTTATTGTTATATATAGACAGAAGTTTGGTTTTCTTCGACGTGCAACGTTCGTTCAATAATCATCATAAGCAAACATGAAATCTCTTGAGTGTTTAAAAGGCGTAAAAACATGCAAGTAAATAATTTAATATACGAATCACGCAAGTCCTATTGAAAGTGAAATGCAAAAATCAAACATATTTATTTAATCAATAATGAAAAAAACATAATCTCAGGTGTTCTCTCAAATATTTTTAATTCTAATTATTCATCGTACTCTAACAATATTGTTTGGAAAGAAAAGGTTCCAAATGTAAATCATTCTCATTAAAAACAAATTCATCAATATTAATCTGATACCAAAAGTTACCTACAACATGTTTCTATTCGCCCATAATCCTAAAACTTTTTTCCTTCAATATCTAGGAATCTTGTCCTGGTTGTAAAACATCTGGTGGTATATCAAATATATCATTTTCATTTCGTGGTCAAGATCGTATACGTGAAGCAATGCATTCCGTATTTTTATTTCATGCAATTAAAGCTGGTCTTGATATGGGTATTGTTAATGCTGGTCAAATACCAATTTATAATGATATTGATCCTCGTCTTCGAGAACTTTGTGAAACATGTATATTTAATACACGATCAACAGCAACAGAAGAATTACTTGATTATGCTCAACAACTTAAATTAAATTCTGGTACAGGTGATAATAATAAAGGAGAAAAAGAAGAAGAATCATGGAGAATAAATACAACGGCTGAAGAACGTCTTCAATATTCATTAGTTAAAGGTATTGATAAATATGTAGTTGACGATATGGAAGAAGCAAGAAAAAAATATTCACGTCCATTACATGTTATTGAAGGACCATTAATGAATGGTATGAGTGAAGTTGGAGAATTATTTGGTGCTGGTAAAATGTTTTTACCACAAGTTATTAAATCAGCAAGAGTTATGAAAAAAGCTGTTAATTATTTAATTCCATTTATGGAAGAAGAAAAACAACAAAATTTAAAATTATTACAACAACAAGGTAATACGCCAATAGCTGTATTAAATTCACAAGCAACTATTGTTATGGCTACTGTTAAAGGTAAAATAATTTTTCCATAAATTTTTCTTTTATTTAGAATTTAATTTTTAGGTGATGTTCATGATATTGGAAAGAATATTGTTGGTGTTGTACTTGGTTGTAATAATTATCGTGTTATTGATTTAGGTGTTATGACACCATGTGATAAAATTCTTAAAGTAGCTAAAGAAGAAAATGCTGATTTTATTGGTTTATCTGGTTTAATTACTCCATCATTAGATGAAATGATTATTGTTGCAAAAGAAATGCAAAGATTAAATTTTAATATTCCATTATTAATTGGTGGTGCTACTACATCTAAGTAAGAATCAGTTCTTTTCTATAGTAAATAGTAATTAATTAATAACTAACATTTATTCACTTGATAAAATTCATTTTAATCTAATATTGAAAATATGAGTTTCGGTTGTCACTTCAATCTACTTGAATTTTTTAACAAAAATTTTAACTTCATTAAATAATCTATCTTGTATAAGTACGCTTGCGATCTTTCATTTTAGTACTAAAATCAATGTAAACTTTTTTTTATCATTTATATTTTTTCGTTGGTTTTTAGTTCCGCAGTAGGAACATACAATTTACTTCGATGTATTGGTTGCTGTGAAATTACAAAAGAAAGAGTTTTTTTTTATAAAAGGGAACTATAAAGTTTCGTACAGCTTGAAATATAAGTGAATTTTTTTATACCAATAGTAAATAGTTGAAAAATTGTATTTGCAATAAAGTCCACAGTAGGATTAAAATATGCAATACGATAGAGCTGCTGACATTGTATAAAAATAAATGCGAAAACCTCGGATTTAAATCCGAGTGTTATGTGTACTTCAAAAAGTGAAAAGGTATATTCACTGTGTTTTTTATCACTAAATTGCAAGAAGAAAATACAGACGTGCTAAG